GAACAAATTAAATCAAGTGATCTACTGAAGTACAATCGACCTTATGATAGAAGCCAAGCGAAATCCAGTAATCCGAATGGCATCTAGTCAATCTTATTATGAGCATACATAACTCAATAATCAAAATGGAATCAGTTCGATTCAATGGTGATAACAAAGATAAATTCATGATTCTGACCGGAATACAGTCAACTTCGTAGTGATATTCAAGCTAAATCTAATTGTATACCTGGAATCCAGTCAATTTTGTGGAAACACCCAACTAAAATATTGTGATATCAACGGGATCCAATCATTCTTTTGGTGACGACAAAATGAAATCGAGGAATCATTCTAGCTTATCCTGCCGATACTGTAATAATATCCATGCCACTCTGATGGGTTAATTGACTTTATAAAAAAACATTAACGCCCATTAGTAAACATTGATAAAGATATATTGTAATACTAAAATACATGATGATCCTTGTAATAATATTATTACATATTGTAATACTAAAATACATGATGATCCTTGTAATAATATTATTACATATTGTAATACTAAAATACATGATGATTCTTGTAATAATATTATATATTGTAACACTAAAATACATGATGATCCTTGTAATAATATTATTATATATTGTAATACTAAAATACATGATGATCCTTGTAATAATATTATTACATATTGTAATACTAAAATACATGATAATCCTTGTAATAATATTATATATTGTAACCCTAAAATACATGATGATCTTTGTAATAATATTATTATATATTGTAACACTAAAATACATGATGATCCTTGTAATAATATTATTACATATTGTAATACTAAAATACATGATGATCCTTGTAATAATATTATTATATCCTGTAATACTAAGATACAAGATGATCCTTGTAATAATATTATTAGAATAAAGTTAAACTTATATTACGTTTTTAAAAGAATATTTAATATTCCTTTTTTACGTTTAAATTTCGAAATTTTGCAACTAACCTTAACTTGATATTTTTGTTTTACAGAAAAGTTCTTTACTAAGTTAACAAAAGATAAAACTAGTTAACTTATCTGTTCCACTATTCACAAAAGACATTTTGCGTTGCTTTCTTATTCATCAGTTTGATGTTTTACACAGTCTAAAAATGTACCTTGTTAAGAATAATTAATAATGCATATAAATTTTGTATACAGGGCTTATTATTTCTCTTGCCCCCAGTGGCACAGCGGTATGTCTGTGGACTTACAACGCTATAAACCGGGTTTCGATACCCGTGGTGAGCAGAGCACAGATAGCCCATTGTGTAGTTTGGGCATAACTACAAATAAACAATTATTTCTCTTTACACGAACAACTTCATAATTTTGAATATGATTTCAAATGCATAATAAGGTATATATATATCATCAGGGTTTATATTTCCTAGTGAAAATATTCCAACTCTCAATGAAGACTTATGTGCTGATTATCCTACTCTATATAGATATTTAGTTGAATTTGAAGTAGACCCTTCACTGAAATAAAGAAACTAAGGTCGGTTTATGTAAGTGTCATACAGAAAGATGCCAGCAATGAGAAAGTTTTTTTAATAGTTAAGCTGGGCGTTGAAGAAATGTTAACGGAATTTGAGCCAACTCGTAAACACAATGCTTACTATACTATCCTAATAAGAAAACACGGGGCTTATTGTACTATTCTGATATGAAAACACGGGACTTACTGTACTATTTTAATAAGAAAACACGGGGCTTATTGTACTATTCTGATATGAAAACACGGGGCTTATTGTACTATCCTAATAAGAAAACATGGGGCTTATTGTACTATTCTAATATGAAAACACGGGACTTATTGTACTATCCTAATAAGAAAACTGTGTTTCTTATTAGGATAGCACAGTAAGCCCTGTGTTTTCTTATTAGGATAGTACAATAAGCCCTGTGTTTTCTTATTAGGATAGTACAGTAAGCATTGTGTTTTCTTATTAAGATACTACAGTAAGCAATGTGTTTTATTATTAAGATACTACAGTAAGCATTGTGATTTCTTATTAGGATAGTATAATAAGCTCCGTTTTCTGAAGCATCAGTTTTCTATTTCAAGTGAGAACACAACCTGTATTGATTTCTAATGAAATGACTTTTTTTTCACGTTTTTATATTCATTCATTTTAATTTTTGGAAAATCAATCTGTATAATGTAATATTTGATACATGACATATTATTGCTATTTTACACACATGTGTGTATTAGTATATTTCAGAAATAGCTTAATTTATGGTAGATTGACAACTTTTTAATATATTTTAATATATTTATTTGACTTAAAC